AATAGAATCACAATTGACATCATAGTTCTGTGACTTTTTTTACTTAACACCGAGTTTGCGCTATAGTCTTTTCATTTCAGATTTACCACCTTCGCTTCGAAAGTTGTCAGGCAGGCATCCCATTGTATATTTGAATCATCACTTACTTAAATAAACATTCCTTGTTGATGGAGTTTTGGGTTTTCCAGATTTCCCCTTTCATAAATAATGTCACAAACTTTTGTATATATCTTTGTGCACTTGTGCGAGATTATTTGCAGAATGGCTTTCTAGAAGCAAAGTTGTTCCATCAAGAGGTATGGATAGTTAACATTTTCATAGTGCCAAATTGTGTTCTAAAAAGTGAAATGGTTGTGTTTTGTTTTATTTTTTTTATTTTTTTTTTGAAAGATTTATTTATACAAGCACTGGGTACAGTCAGAAGCACGGGTTGGGAGGGTGAGAGAATTCACCAGAGCCACAGGGGAGAGCAGAGCAGGCAGAGTGATGAAATACACTGCTGAGGGGAGCAGGCGGGCGTGGCAGGAGAGGTCTGTGCGCCATGTAGGACCCTCACCTGGCAGCCGGGGATCGAACCAGCGCTGCAGAGCTTCGCAGCCCAGCACTCAACGGCTGCGCCACCGGGGAGGCCCGAAATGGTTGTGTTTTGAACAACAGCACATCAATATCCATTTTTCCCACATCATCACCAATATTGGATATTATGAAGCAAAAACTTTTCCTAATATAGGGAAGATTTAAAATTTGCATTGATTTTATTTTTTTATTTAGATCATATCATTATGTTCATAGAATACATTTTTCTGTGAACTTTTTTTTTTTTAAGATTTATTTATTTATACAAGAGCTGGGGTACAGGCCAGAGGCATGGGAGGGTAAGAGACAGAGCGGGGAGCAGAGACAGAGCGGGGAGCAGACAGAGCGGGGAGCAGAGACAGAGCGGGGAGCAGAACAGGCAGATAGACCAAAAACACTGCTGAGGGGAGCAGTGGGCGAGACAGGAGAGGTCTGCTTTACTATGTGAGTATCTCCCTGGCCATGCTGGGAATCGAACCCATGCTACAGAAGCTGCTGACAGCTTCACAGCACTGTGCTTAACCCCCTGCGCCACCGGAGAGGCCCAACTTTTCATTCATACATATTGTCCATTTTTCTACTGACTTTTTCTTACGCAATTTAAAGAGCTCTTTGCATTAAGGAAGTCAGTCTTTCATTATAAATATTGAAAATATTTTCTCTCTGCTTGTTTCTTGCAAGGCTAAGGTGCTTTTTATGTGTCATACAAATGTAAAATATTTACAATGTAAAATTTATTGTGTTTTTTCTTTATGACTTCAGGCTTCCTGTCACTCTTAGAAAGCACTTCCTGAATTCCTAATGTGAAAGAGTTTTAGTATTCCTCTAATATGTTAATGGTCTCATTAAAAAAAATTAATAAAATATCTGATATAGACAAAAGAATACATATACATATATAAAACCCATATATAGGTTACAGAGGAACATGATAAAATAAACACCTGCAAACTCAAGAAATAGTGGTTTAGTAGTTTCATTTTTTAAAAAAAAAGATTTATTTATTTATTTATACAAGCACTGCGGGAGGGTGAGAGAATTCACCAGAGCCAGAGCGGGGAACAGAATAGGCAGACTGATGAAACACACTGCTGAGGGGAGCAGCAGGCACAGCAGGAGAGGTCTGCGCGCCACGTGGGACCCTCGCTCAGTGGCCGGGGATCGAACCAGTGCTGCAGAGGCTGCAGGCAGCTTTGCAACCCAGAGCTCAACTGCTGCGCCACCAGGGGAGGCCCTAGTCGTTTCATTTTTTACATTAAAAATATCCATCTGTAATTGGATTTAGGAGGAATAGGAATAGGAATCCATTTTCCCAATATTTTTTTCTGTTACCTTTATTTTCTTATGTAGCTGCCTTGTTGTCCCAATATTATTTATTAAACAGGCCCTCTTATCTCTTGGCTTCTGTTAAATAATGGCATGTGACCTCTGTATACAAAACAAAATTACTGCTAGCCTGTAGTGAGATACCTAAAATAACTAACAAAAATCCTTCTGGATGTTTTCAGATTCAATAACCAAATTAGCCCCCATTTTCCGAAGCATGCTAAAAAGAGAACATGGAGCTTTTTTCTAATTTGATAGTTAGAAAAATCCCAATAGATATTTTGACCTCTCTCACCTGGAGCAAGGTATTTAACTTCTCCAAGCCCCAGTTTCTTGACCTTTAAAATGGAAAGTATACTAATACACATTGTGAGCTGTTCTCAGGACTAAGTTGGCTAAGAAAGGTAACGTGATTGGCATGGTGCTGGGAATGTAATAAACTTTCTATCAACAGTTTAATATTATAGTTGTTGTCATTACGATGTACTGTTATTACCTTATCAGCTTCTCAGATCCTTGGAAGAAAGGTCATACTCTGGCTTTGTGGCTCCATCACAATTCTTGCTTGCGATTGTTATAGTTAAACAAGTCTAACTTGTTAGTTTCATGGCTTGATGCCACACTCCTATCTTCTATGACTATGTAGGATTTCAAGACTTCTAAATCTATTTTTTTAAAAGATTGATTTATTTATGCATACAAGAGGTGGGGTGTAAGCCAGAGGTGCGGGGGATGGGTTGGTGGGTGAGAGATTCACCAGAGAGAGTAGGGAGCAGAACAGGCAGATCTACTGAAATACACTGCTGAGGGGAGTAGGGGGGAGACAGGAGAGGTCTGCTGCATCATGTGGGTAGCTCCTTGGCCGGCAGGGGATTGAACTTGTGTTGCTGGGGATAGCTTGATAGCACTGTCTTTAACCCCTGTGCCACCAAGGATGCCTTAAATCTATATTTTTATAAATAAATGGAAATGATTCCAATCTCTAACAACACTAAATGTTGTTTCCTGATCTGAAGAAACACCTCTCTTCTCCCTGCTAATGGTAGTGCGCAGGGATCCACAAGCTTCCTCTTGGAACGGTTGTCCATCAGTCTACCACATAGCTGAGCTTTTATTAGAAATAGTGCTCCTGTAAATGTAGATTTTGATGGAAACGGAGCCCTCTAATATACTTTACCCCTCATTATTTCCAACTGATGTCCAGTGATTCCATCCATATGAAGGATGTTGAGACATGTTTATTGAATTTATGTTGTAAAATTCAGTTCTTACATTATTAGATACATAAACAATGAGGCATTAACTGGTTTATCCATTTCATAGGGAAGGAATTGCCACAGAGAATTTTTTCTTGCTGAAAGTGACTTGGAAACATAACAGCAAAGACCCATTTGCTTTTTCGGATTTTTTTTTTTTTAAAGATTTATTTATTTATGCCTACAAGAACTGGGTACAGGCCAGAGGTGTGGGGGTGAGAGGCGTTACCAGAGTCAGAGTGGGGAACAGAACAGGAGGACTAAAGAAACACACTGCTGAGGGGAGCAGCGGGTGAGACAGGCGAGGTCTGCTGCGCCATGTGGGTGGCTCCCTGGCTGGCCGGGGACAGAACTCGTGCTGCAGAGGCTGCGAATAGCTTCATAGGTTGTGTCTCAACCCCTTGTGCCACCAGGAAGGCCCCTAAATTATTCTTAAAGAAACTGTCACAGGAGGAAATTACAAGCTGAATATATTCCAGAACCAAAATGATCACTTCATTTGAAATAGATGAGTGAATTATGTCATGCTATGTTCTATCTCTTCATCTATTATATACAGATCTTAACTCCTTCGGGAAGAGTGCATGCTCGAAGAGCAGTTTAGTAACAAACCAACAATAGGTTGATGATTCACCCTGGATTCACCCTGGATTCACCCAGTTGCAAAAGAACTCAATAAACACGATAGTATTTCCAAAACTGCTAGTCATTAAAATTTCCAAACCCACCATCCTATAAATTACACTGGACAGAAGAGCGTCTGCCCTGCCTCTCACCCCCTGCAGCCGCCAGACCCTGTGACGAGCAGCCTCTGGAGAGGCGAGGCGAGGCATGTGCTGTTTCTCAAAGAGAAAAGGTGATGTCTCAAATGTCTTTTAAAACATTTCCCCCCACTAAAGGCACAGAGTTGTGTACCCCGCTCTCTGGTTTAAACCCCCCGTGTCTGTGGCTATCGCTCCTCCTTTATTCTGGAGATTTTTCATTCTTTATTCTTCTCCTCAAATAAGCAGCGCGAGCCACCTTGTGTTTTCTGCCTTCATTAATCGTTTGCCACAGACTTATTTTGAAAACCTTCACCCTCATCAGAATTTCGAGAGTCCTTAAGCGAATGGTTCGAAGCCACCGTGCGCCCCCGCCCCCCGGCCCCCCAGGCCCCCCCAAACCCCCGCCCCCCGGGAGAGGCGCCCGCGTCCCAGTGGCCGCGGAGGCGAACTGTGATCCCGGCAACAACAGGCGCCGCGCGCCCCCGGCCAACCCCGCCCCGGGGCCTGCCCGCTCCGCGCCGGGGTCCGGGCCCGGCACAAAGACGCGCCCCCGGCGGGGAGCCCAGCCCTCGCGGCCGCCCCCGCCTTCCCCTGCTCGTTTTATTAGAAAGAGGGGCGAGCGGCCCGCGGCCCCGCCCCGCCCCCGCCCCGCGGCCCGGCCTCCGCGCGCGTCAGGCCCGCCGCGCCAATGGCGGCGCGCGATACTGCGAGGTGGGCCGGGCCCGAGCGCGGAGTGGGCGGCGGGTCGGCGCAGCAGCCCCGCCGCGGCTCGGCCACCATCGCCGAGCGCCGCTGCTCCCACAGACGCTCGCGAGCCGCCCCCCGCGCGCCAGCCCCTCTTCCTCCCGCACCCCGCGACGCCGCCCGGCCCGGGTCCGCCCCGCCCGCCCGGCCCAGCCCGCGCCCCGCGCCGCCCGCCCGCCCCCCGAGCGGAGGGAGGACGCCCGCGCCCCGGAGCCCCTCGCCTCAGGAGCCCGCGCCCGACATGAGCCTGGGCCCCCGCCCCTGAAGGGCCGGCCGCAGAGCAGGGCCGGAGCCGCCCGAGGTCGCCGAGGGACCGCGCCGCCGCCCGCCGCGGCCCCGCCCGCGCCCGCACTTTCCCGGGAGCCCGCACCCGCCTCCATTGATGGTGTAGCGCGTCGGGGGTAAGTCTCGGCGCCGCCCGGGCGCGGGGCGCGGGCGCGGGCGGCGAGGGGGCCCCGGCGCCGGGCTCTGGGCCGCCCGCCCGGCCCCCAGGCCCGGCCCGGCCGCCCGCCGGGGCCCCCGGCCGGTCTCGGCCCCGCTCGGGCTCGTGGGTGACTTGTCTGAGGTTAAACTCTTTCATGTGACTAAATTAGGGGCCGAGCTGGGGCGGGGGCGGGCGGAGAGGAAGTCGGGCACGGGAACTGTACATTGCTCGGATGTTTGTGGATTGGGGGGCCCGGGGGGGCGGACTTCGCTTCAAGTGTCGTTTTCTCGTCCGGGGAAGATTCCCTCTTTGTGTCCTAAACCTCTCGGTCTCGGCGCTGTTGTAATAACCAGATCGTGAAACCCCAAATCACTTGCAGCGGAATTGGCTTCTTACTGTCAGGGCTTAGTCCTGCCCGCTGAGGAGCAGGGTACCCTCGGGTTTGGTTTGGGTTTTTTTTTTTTTTTTTGTGTGTTTTTTAAACGTTTTGGAAAGAAGATAAGTAGTTTTACATACATGGCGTGCGTGTGTGTGTGTGTGTGTGTGTGTGTGTGTTGGGAGGGGGAGAGTATTGCAGGTTTCCTTTGAAACTGGTTGCTTGAGAAGTTGTTGAAAGGAAAACAGAATGATTCATTGTTGAATTGTCATTTTCCTCTGCCTCTTTTCCAAGGTTTGCTTACAATTTTTCTGGATTACAGACTTCAAACATTGATTTAAGCAAAATGTGTCCTTGAGAAACTGGGTGCTTTAAATGTTTCAGTATGTGTTGCTATTTTAAGGTACATTTAGAAAGTAGTTTTGTATGAATCCCGAAATAGCTTTTCCCCAAAGCAGATTTTTTTTCAACACAAAAAAAGATAAGTAGGGAAAAGGAAACTTGGTGAATGGCAAAACAAACATTTGAATGTAACACAGATCCATGCATCCCATGTTTAGATGTGAGACAGTTTTTGATAATTGCTTTCCATTTAAAGAGAGACCTTTTTGTCTGGTGTACACTGGCTGCTTCAGGCTCAGACTGTTGGGGGAGGGGAGAAGGCTGGATCTCTACAATAATAAAATCATCTTTGGGAAGCTGTTTCCTTCCAGGGCTTTGCTTGTTGAGTTAATTCCTCTGTAAATTATAAGCCAGTTTTGATTTTGATGGCTTGGGCTGGGTGGAAAGCTGGCTTCCAGCTTTGCCTGTTGTTGAGGTCGAAGGGAAAAGAGGCAGACACACACACACACACACACACACACACACACACACACACACACAATACCAGGCTGAGGGCTCATTGTTCTTCCATACACACATTCATTCTCTCTCCCCCATATTTGGGACTAGGTTTGCACAGACAGCACAGCTCTTTTGGGGAGAGAGGCGAGAAGATGGGGGAAGGGTGTGTGCTTTTCTTTTTCAGCCTTTCACCCATCTCATGTTGAGCCTTTTTTGCAACCTTGTGAGAGGCAGGAGAGTACGTTGGAAACTAGAGGACACTCAAAAATGTGGTCGGAGATTCCTCTTCTCCACCTCCCTTTCTTCCCTTTGCAGCCTTGATTTCTGCTGCTCATTCTTTTTTGTGTATGTAAAGCTGAAACCCTCCTTCCTGTGTCACGGCCTGATATTCAGCTTTCGTATTCCTTGTTGTCCCTGACTTTGTTGGACAGTGATATATGCACAGTGGACTCTTGCTGTAGTGAATGTGACCAAGGTCATCTTTTCTAGGTGGAAGTAGATTGTCTCAGCTGAGATGCTAGAGATCATATTTGAGGTTAATATTTAGCAAAGCGTGTGTATGTTTTGACATATTAGTGGTCTGGTGGTTTGATAGGTATGCTGGTATTGAGCTGTCAGTGTGTTTTGTATTATAAATAGGGGCTATAAGAAAAGATCTGGTTTTCTGCTTTGGGCGCTAGTCTAGAGACTTCCTTGAACACTGGAGAGGGAACAGGCCAAGTGAGTCCACCTGGGGTAAACCCAGCTCTTGGCGGAGAATGGAGGTTGGCATGAATATGTGTGGGCTGCAGAATAGCACCTTCTACTGGTAAATTGCTTTGAAGGATCCAGACGAAGAGGATAGGGGGAGGGGATTAACGGCTAAGGCCTAATGATTTTCTTTTGAACACAGTTGTAGTGCTTTTCTGCAGATGTCACCTCCCCGAGCTGCTAATACAGATGCCCTTTGACAGGCTTGTTTGTGTTGGGGCTTTTTGCGTTATTGGCTGTGTCTTGACATTAATTTGTTCTATTCTCAGAAGTATTTACTCGTCGTAACTTCTAAGCACTCTTCTGAATTGATATTCTCTTGTCTTCTAGGAGAAATATAGTTTGTTCTGAAATGGTAAACAAAATAGGGGGTTTTATTTATTTATTTTTTTTCGGTGTTGGAAACTGTACATATGCTGGCAATCTAAAAAGTTTTCAGTATCAGTGAAAAAAAGCCAAACAGACCTACCCTATTGGAAAGAAAAATCCTAGCTCTGGACCCAGAGGGTCCAGATTTTCCTTGGGATTTTGTGTGTGAGAGCGAGAGAGAGAGAGAGAGAGAGAGAGAGAGAGAGAGAGAGAGAGAGAGAGAGAGAAAGAGAGAGAGAGAGTGTGTGTGTGTGTGTGTGTGTGTGTGTGTGTCTAGGACTGGGGTGGATTAGGGTAAAGTGGAGGGTAAAGTAAGTCATGAGCTTACTAAAATGAGTTTTACATACGTATTAGTGCCGGCATTTGATAGTGCATAAACATAAATAAAAATAAGTCTGATAGGGTGACTTATTTTATGGATAAGATTAAAAAAATGAGGGGAGAGAGCAAATGTGAAATGAATGTGTGCACAGATTAACATAGAAGGCCAAGTTCCTGCTCAAAGCTTCTAAAGCAAGGTGTAGTTTCAGAGATAATCTGCTTGATAAATGCCTGGAAGATTTTTATTATTGCACATCCTGCCCCATCTCGATTGTTTTAAGGTAATGAACTGTTAGAGAGGTTTGCAGTGCCAAGGGTGAATCAGAATAGAATAAACATCTACTCTTCCTTACTGGCTACTTCTGGGAATGTGGTTTCAAAATTTACAGTGTAATCTCTGAAGTACTGTATCTTTTACAATGAAATGTGAACAGCTCAAATGTATTATTTATTCAGTAGGAATCCAGTCAGGTAATTTCAAGCCTGTGTGTTCTTTGCCAGTGTTTTGTACATGGTAACTAGAGTAACTAAGAATCAATTCAGACAGAACGGTAATCCAAATGAAGAAACAAGTGCACCAGTTAATTTTTGAAGCTTAACTTTGCAATAATTACATATACCATTGAACAGAAATATGCCAGGTGCTGAAAAAACACCCGTACAAAAATATGATGTGTCCTTCTAAAAAAAAAAAAAAAAAGTGTATGTTGAATATTATTACGGATTGAGTAAGTACCCATTACTTTTAAAATTAGTTTTGAATCTTTGACATCTTGTTCAAATCTTAGTAATCAAAAAAACATTTAAGTAGTAAAATAAGTTGTATTTACCAAGTTCTTTAGGGAATTGTGTGCTTTCTTACTAACTGCTTTTGGCAGCTTCTTTTGCAGTTGATTTAAAGGTTAAGATAGCAGAAAATTCAGATGTTTAAGTGAGTCATAAGTGCAACATAGCTGTGAACTTCATTACACACACATGCACATTCCGAAACAATATGCTATTGTCTTCCGTAATCAGCTGCTGATAATGCTGCCTTTCAGTTGATCGTTGTTTTTTTTTTTTCCTCCAACAACCGGGAATTCCTCTGGAATCATTTATGTGATTGTTAATTATTAATATCTTGGTAATTATTCCAAATTTGTAGCATTGCTTGTCCTAATAAGTGTGCGTTTGGTGAGGCTGTTGACTTGTGGTTGGTTAGTTTCTTGTCTAACAACAGTTACAGTGGTCTTCAGCTGAGAAATGAGCATTTATGTGTTAGAAAATTGTTAAGATTGCTCAAGCCATTTTATTATTATTATTTTTTTTATTTTTAAAGATTTATTTATTTATTTATACAAGCACTGGGCACAGTCAGAAGCGCAGGAGGGTGAGAGAATTCACCAGAGCCAGAGCGGGGAGCAGAGCAGGCAGACTGAAGTACACTGCTGAGGGGGGGAGCAGCGGGCGGCAGGAGAGGTCTGTGCGCCATGTGGGACCCTCCTCTGGTGGCCGGGGAGCAGCCGGGGATCGAACCGGTGCTGCAGAGGCTGCGGGCAGCTTCGCAACCCAGCGCTCAACCGTTGTGCCACGGGGAGGCCCTGCTCAAGCCATTTTAATGAACGCTTCATCACAGATAATTCAAATGGGTTCAAATACTAAATATATTTACTATATTGGAGTATTGATTGGAACTGTGATTTGTATAATTGTTGGTAAGCCAAGTAATGTCAGATGTAATACATGCCTGTCTGTTAGGTAACTAGGTCAGAAAGGACAGCTAATATAAGAGAGGGTTTTTTTTTTTTTTTTTTGGGTGAATTGACTTTGCCATTATAAAATGGTGGTTTTTAATTCGGTAAAATTTGTCAATATGTCAGCAATCATAAGCAATATATTTAACCGTGAGGTTTTTCTTGTGTGGTAATTTTACAGAATGTGACCTCTCATGCATAGATTATTTGGTGTTTGGGAATCCTCACAGCTATGTGCATGCCTTGGATTTTTCAATCAGAAGTTGAAGCCACAGGTTATATCCTGGCTTTAACCTACTTAGACTGGAGATTTGTAGGGACTGGGTTAGGCTTGTTTGGTTGCGAGGAGCAGAAAGGTGTTGGGGGAAATTGGAACAAGATGCAAACCTTGAAAGGCAGGCAGGGTTACTGGAAAGCTGTCTGGGGTCTGGTCCTGCCCATCTTCGGTGACCAGCTGGCCTGTCACCTCCTCACCGGAAGAGTTAGTTCGTTGGGATGCAGTGCCGGGCTGTGTGTGGCCGTCCACCTTGAGGCATAAGGACATCATTAAAGGGGACAGTGTCGGCATCGTGGACCTGGACTAAC